CTGTCAACATGATGTTATCATTGTCTCATCCATAGCCCAGGAGTGAAGCTGTCTTAAATTGCTCTTAAGTACATGAGGTTAAAATGCTGATTTCCACTTTACTCTGCTGCCATCCAAGAAAACCCCAAATTATCCGTTACCTTGGAAGGAAGTCATTTGATTGAATTAACTGGGAACAGGGTCAGTATAGTCAGGATAGGGAGTAGCAATGAGGATAGAAAATTTCATACCCGCATAGATTTTTGGGTGGGGTGACTCAAGGATGAGTGGATAGCATTTCAACTTATTAGTGGGAAAGGGTTTTATCTTCAGAATTGCTACTATGTTTGCAGGTCCTATCAGAAACTTTGCTGAAACCATACTTGCAGCTGAACCTCAAATAACAACTGAATCTGGCTATATTTCAAAGATTCATTATGGTAGGAATGTTCTGTCTTTCTCTTAAACTATATGAATTAATTTGGGTGTGTATCAGTTTTATTGATAAAGTTATGTAACTGTTACAGCATTGAATTACCAGTCTGATAAATGTCTGCTTGTCTGTGTTGTAGATAAATTTCAGTTTCTGCATCTGAGGGACCTGACCAGGACTGTGTGGTAGTGTGAGACCAACTTAATGCTCACTTGACCCTTGCCCTTCATAGTTAATTAAGATAGCCATGGAAGATCTGGTTGATTGGGCACAGAGAGAGGTTATGTTTCACTAGAGGAAGGAACTGTATTATTTAGCCTTAAGATTGGTTATATGAAACCTAGTTAAGAAACCCTCTCTAGATCCCCTCTTGTTGAAATAAGTCTGGTTTGCAATTTGCCACTTTTTTTTCAGCCTGCCTCCTGGAATCATGGGTACCCCGTCACTGGAGGTTTTCAAACAAAAGTTGGACAGCCATTTGTCAGGAATGGTCTGAGGATTTCTGTCCTGGGCAGGGTGCTAGTCTAGACCTTCAGGGTCCTTTCTAACCCTATGATTATATGGTTCAAGGATAAAATGGTTCCTGGTTTGAGACTCAGACAGCTTTGGTGACTCTGGCAGGGAAATCTGCATTAGGAGCTAGACGGAGCAATAATATATCCAAGAAGGTCACAAATAGCGATCATGGACTGTGGGAACCTGCAACGTCATAATTGTGAGCCAGGCACCCAATTACAATCACATAACTGTGGGGATGCTGTGACCAACTTAAGTACTAGGAGCAGTTATAACTCACTTTTTCAGCACCATTGTAAATTTGGTCACTGAAGGAGTGGTCGTTAAGTGAGGACCACCTGTAGTTCAAATGTCTAAAATGGCCATTATTCTTTGATAGAGAGAGAAAGATCACTGGCTTCATAATATGTAAAATTTTCTGTAACTAGTTGTGTGTTCTAAGTACAATTTTACTTTGCTATTATCAAGATAAGTAGCTGGAGTCCTACAGATTTCAAGAAAATGATTTTCACTCTCAAGTTATCCTATTTATGCACTGAAGAATGCAAACTTTCATGTTCTCTTTTTTCTTGAGCAATTACATCAGTATAGCTAAAATATCTATCTTGCTTTCTTTTTTTTAATATTTTACTAGAGGGGCAGCATCTTGCACATGGAAAAATTTCTCAAGTTGTCAGAGAAACATTCGATAATTTGATGGCTAAGTATCCAGAGTACCAGAGTTGTAGCAGTTCATTAGCTGCTTTCATAATTGAAAGAGGTAGGCATGGTCCTCACAAATAATAGCTGTTGAGAGGTTGGCAGTCTTTTCAGCCTGAACACAAAAAATTACTTTTTTTCCCCCCATAGCTAGACAGTATGAGGTGGTAGCTATTGGAACAGGTGAATTTAACTATAGCCAATGCAGTCATCCTGATGGAAGAGTGTTGCATGATAGTCATGCAGTTGTTACTGCAAGGCGCTCTCTACTTAGGTAAGTGTATAATGATGCATTTTCCCCCCTAATTACATTTGTGTAATTGTTTTGTAGTGTTGATGTGCATAGAAATTCAATTGCATTTAATATGAATTTTTTAAAGACTTTATATCTAATATCTGAATTATTGTTTCTTTAAAGGTATTTTTATAGACAGCTTTTACTTTACTACAGTAAAAATCCTGCTATGATGGATAAATCCATATTTTGTACTGAACCAACATCAAACCTGCTTGCATTAAAACCAAATGTAAAAATACTTCTCTACATGAATCAATTGCCAAAAGGATCTGCTCAGATAAAGTCCAAGCTGTAAGTATTTTTTTCTAAAGGTAAAGCAGAATTTATAAAAATATAGTACATGATTTCCCTTATATTTTTTTTACTATTTATGTATTTCTGAGACTTTTATAAAATTTAAATCTCTTGTTATGTTTATGAGCCCAAAGTGACATAGATAGTGCTCTCTCCTCCTATTTTGGCCCCCCCAAACCACCCTGTGAGGTAGGTTGGGCTGAGAGAGGTGACTGTTCAAAAGCTATCCAGTGGCTTCTCATGGCTGAGAGTGGATTAGAATCTGTGTCTCTCTGCTCCTTGTCCGACACCTTGTTACACCACGCTGGCTGGTATTCTTGCTATACAATAAAATATCTGTTTTGCATCAAATTAATCTACAGCATTGAACAACAAAATTATATGGGTGGTGCTAGATATTACATAGGCCATTCCTGAATTATTGAAAGACCATTTTTTAAGAGGGGAATAAGTAGATATTTTAACGGTTCTTTTCATTATTTTATTACATTGAGCACCATCTTTTGGCAGAAATATTGCAAATCTGAAAAATAAAAGTACCTTTTTACAACTTATTTTTTATATATTAATGTATATTAACAGCTTTGTTCTTTGTCAAAAGGATACATCCCTATTTCAGTAAAATATATATTTAAAACTATCAAAGCCAACAATTTATCTAGTTTAACTTGACTAACATGATTATGTAAAGGTCAGATAGCTAAACAGTTGGCCAAATACCTATACATTTTTAGCCCTTGCTTGTGTGTAGTGGCAGCTGAACTGGTGCATATTATTGATAGTTTTCAAAGACAAGATGGAGGCTACTTCCAGAAGCTGCTTCTTTGCTTGGAAGATGGGGAATTGCCACTATTTCTAAACACTATCCACTTGTCTTTGATTGGAGCCATGGTTTGGGCAGAGGTCTCTAAAAATCCCACATTCTGTTCTTTCAGAATTTTTTTTTTTTAATAAAGTACCATTAATTTTTAGTTTCTTCCTAGTAATCAGGAAATGGGAATTGGGGGGGAAATTCTGGTGACATGATTCCTCTATGTTTCTCACCTACTTTCTTTTCCCATACTTCCCTCTTTACAAATAAAGTAGGGAAACTTCTGGAAATTTTGGACCCAAAAATCATTCTTATTTTTTTGTGTGTGTGACAAGCAGTGATTTTTACTCTCATAGATTAAAAAAGGAGCAGAAATTACTGTTTCCACTTCTCCATCCCCATCCAGGGAAGTTTGTCTTCAAGGTGGCAAAAGTGTTCTTTCCTATAGTAATAATCATGTTTCCATCTTCGCTAGTGATATTGCCATTGCACCATGACTGCAAAAAAGGATAAGAGTATACCTGATCACAGGTTAAGGGGGCTTTTCCTTTACATCCATGTCTGTGGAGAAGTGTAACCTTGCATTGAATTATAAAGCTGCCTCTGAAATTTTGAATTTTATTTCCTTGAGAGTACGTGGGGAAGGGAGGGAGAATAACTGGGATTTTCTACAAGTTTGATAAGCCTTTTCTCAGTTTTTTATCCAATTCATAAAAAATATGAAGAATAGAAGATCCATGTCTGAATCCTGGCACCCTATTCCTGTCTGATTAGGAACTTTGATTACAGTTTTCAGGCTAACTATGCATTCAGTCCATACTCAACTAGTCTGCCAGGTAGAATGTTGTAGAATTCTTGTCAAATGCTTTGTTGAAATCAAGGTTTATTATCCATATAGAATCTTAGGGTAGGGCTTTGTATGAGAAACTGAAATCCTATAGTTTTGTGCTTAATGCAGTCCTGATTATGGGATACAATTGTGCAGAGGCAGCCTTTCAACAGTGTGCCAAGGATTTGGAAACTCAGACTTGGCTGTCATACCCAAATATATGTTTTAGGGCAGTCATTTAATTTCTTTCAAGCCAGCTAGATATCTAAGCTAAATAGCAGCTCCCAAATTCAGAAGAGCCCTAATTCTGGCAAGATGTAATGCCCAATAGCCAATTTTGAGGGGAAATTATAGGGTATCCCATTTGAACAAAGGCTTTGCCCCTGTAGTGAAAGGAGTTACTAAAACATTAACTCCTATTCTTCTGTATTGCTCCCATTACAAAGATACCCAATTGCAGCTAATAACACCACATCTAGCCAGTTTCCCAGGCTACCCAGATCTATTTTATTTCCAGTTTTCACTATCTCATCAGTACAATTTATGTTAAGATGGCTAAGTTTTGTTTCACTATTTGTGAAATACATCATACTTGGACCACATCAGTTTGGTAATTATTAGGTTTTACTGTGGTTTTTGCTTGGTTGTTCCACAGTTTGCATTCTGTTTGTTTAATAATTCAAATTTATATAGCTACCCATCTCGTATGATTCTGGGCAGCTTACAAACAATTTAAACAAATATTTTAAAAAGGCAAAAATTTAAAAACAAGAAAAAACAATATACAGTAAAAGCATTTTTAGCTGGTCTATGACTGTAGTAAAGTATTTGTACAGCATTCCTATAATCCACTATGGGAGCTACATAATTAAAAAATGAAAAAAAAAGATTAGACTGGCACTTCATTAGTTTACCAGGATTTCTCAGAAGTTTAGCCAGTTCCAACATTACCCTAGGGATGAAGTTCCTCTTATGCAAGAGATGTTAAATGCATTTAGAGTTAAGACACATTTCTTGTGTCTTTTGTGTAACTGGCTCGAGCTTATGCTCTGCTCTTCGCAGCTCACATGTCCTCTTCTCCAAAGAGGAGGAGTAGTGCTCTACTTTATCTTGTCTTCTCTTGTCTTTTCGTTGCCTTTTAGCATTTTGCTGTTTTCAGTCTAGCTTCTATTTCAGTATTTTGCAGGTTGATTCTTAATCATCCTGTTAAAACTATCATTTTTATTTCTCTATTATGTATCTGTTTGGGATGTGTAAGAACTGAACGATATCCTTTGTTGTAGACGCCTCAATCCAAACTCTGTGTCTGCATTTGAAGCTGATGAAGAACTTTGTCTTCACGTGGTTGTTGAAGGCAAGGTTTATCTCACAGTTTTTTGTCCTGCGGAAATTGCCACAATAAGCAGCATGTCTACCAGTGATAAACTGACAAGGTGGGAAGTGTTGGGTGTTCAAGGAGCCTTACTAAGTCACTTTATTCAGCCAGTTTATGTTAGCATGATAATTCTTGGTAAGTAAATTACTTCTAATTCAGCAGTGCAATGTTGTAAAGATGTATTATGAGAGAGAAGTTTATTGTAGGACAAATACATTGAATTGTTCTGTGTTTAAAAGCTACATTGTCACAACGTTTATTTTCAGTTAATAAACTCTTAATAAATTGTTTGACTTTCTAAACAAGGTATACAAAAATGCAGTGCTGGAATCCTATGAAATCATCATTTTAAAACTTAAGTATACAAGTTTCAACATGTACTCATATATGGTCCTTGGCCTAATTGATTCTTGCTTGATAATGAATGGGATAAGAGATCCATGTTTATAAAGAGACAGCTATAGGGCACAAAGTTGTAGTCAAACTATAGTGCATCTCCAACACGATCTACTATTTAGATCACTTTAATCAGGACTGAAATAATAAACATATATTTAATTGCCAGTATGTGGTTTTCTGTGTCTTTAAATTTTAGTGTTCTACATAAATATAAATGTCTACTTATTGGACTATTTGATAGGAGTTCAGCTTGATTACAGTGACAGTTGTACGTATCAGTAGAACAAATTTTCAGATGAATTTCTTGATCCTCTTCTTAATATTTGTGGATGAATCTCAATGTTTTTTAGGGGATGCGAACTGCCATGATACAAGAGGATTAGAAATAGCTATCAAACAGCGCATAGATGATGCACTTACTAAAAAACTTCCCATGTTCTACCTTGTGAACAGACCTCATATTAGTTTGGTAACTGCTGCATACCCTGTACAGGTTGACTTGGACCATAGATCTCTTAGTGTGAATTGGTCACAAGGAGACTTATCACTGGAGGTGATAGATGGATTAAATGGAAAAATCATTGAAAGGTCAGTGTTACAAAAAAGTACATTGAAATAAAATATGAACAAGTATACTTGTTCTTTGGATAGGAACTTCTTTCAAAATAACTTTCAACTTTATTATCTAATGATAGTTTAAATTTTTACTTAGATAACCAGTGGTAATTTTTCTTGGAGTAAGCTGATTGTTGCTATTTTTTTCAAAATTAGTTCACCCTTCAAAAGTGGTATTTCAATGGCAAGTCGTCTTTGCAAAGCTGCAATGTTAAGTCGCTTTAACTTAGTAGTTAAAGAATCAAAGAGAGAGGATTTACTTAAAGCAACAACTTACCATGAAGCAAAGGTAACATTTGGTAATATAACTCTGCTCTAGTATAGGTGTCATGATTTCTAATTTAGAATTGTATTCATGGTGACTTCAGAGCTAAGTTGGTGTGATTAAGTATAGCAAGGAAAACAGCCATTATTCTAGATCAGTTGGACAAATAGATGTGCATTGATGTTCTTAGTTTTGGAAACCAGATCTTCAGTTTCTTGTCTAGCTTCACAGGGTGACTTTCTGATACTGTCTAGTCTGTAAGTAGGAATCATATTGTCAAAAACAAGCCACTCTTCTTGAAATTAATAACTGTTTTCAGAATTTCTGCTCCATCTTTTCTATCCCTTGTTTCTTTTTCCACTTGTTACAAAAGAAGAAAGGCTGTTGAGGGTGTGGAAAACATTCTCTCTGTTTCATTGTGACTTTGAGAAATAATTTAGGATATGTAAAGAGAAGCCATTCCATATTGTATGTGGTTTTTGTATAATAGGACATATAATTGGGTCTGTCACAAAATGGAGAAGAAAATGAATATTATACAGTGGGGCAAAAAAGTATTTAGTCAGCCAGCAATTGTGCAAGTTCTCCCACTTAAAAAGATGAGAGAGGCCTGTAATTTTCATCATAGGTATACCTCAACTATGAGAGACAAAGTGGGACAAAAAATCCAGAAAATCACATTGTCTGATTTTTAAAGAATTTATTTGCAAATCATGGTGGAAAATAAGTATTTGGTCACCTACAAACAAGCAAGACCCACTTAAAAAGATGAGAGAGGCCTGTAATTTTCATCATAGGTATACCTCAACTATGAGAGACAAAGTGGGACAAAAAATCCAGAAAATCACATTGTCTGATTTTTAAAGAATTTATTTGCAAATCATGGTGGAAAATAAGTATTTGGTCACCTACAAACAAGCAAGACCCACTTAAAAAGATGAGAGAGGCCTGTAATTTTCATCATAGGTATACCTCAACTATGAGAGACAAAGTGGGACAAAAAATCCAGAAAATCACATTGTCTGATTTTTAAAGAATTTATTTGCAAATCATGGTGGAAAATAAGTATTTGGTCACCTACAAACAAGCAAGAAGCATTTCAAGGTCCTGGAGTGGCCTAGCCAGTCTCCAGATCTCAACCCCAATCTTGCTTGTTTGTAGGTGACCAAATACTTATTTTCCACCATGATTTGCAAATAAATTCTTTAAAAATCAGACAATGTGATTTTCTGGATTTTTTGTCCCACTTTGTGACAAAAGTTGAGGTATACCTATGATGAAAATTACAGGCCTCTCATCTTTTTAAGTGGGGAGAACTTGCACAATTGGTGGCTGACTAAATACTTTTTTGCCCCACTGTATATACCTCTTTTGACATCTAAAGGTAAACTTTGTGATAGCCCATACTTTAGGTGTTTAATTCCAGTTATTTATTCAAGCTAAGATAGAAAAAGAAACCAATTAGTATTGCTTGTACGGTCTTCACAGGCTCTCTCCTATTCACCCAAACCACTACATCAAAAAATTGTGCAAAGTAAAAAGTAAAATTCAAGTTCAGCTTCATTCTTAGCAACTATAGGCCAGTCTACAACCCTAGGATTTCCTGATATCTCCCATCCAAGTAGTAATCAGTCCCAGTCCTGCTTACTACTACTTTCTGTTCCCTATTGAGATTGTTCATTCATTTCCTTACGCAGGGTGTATGGGCTGCTCTAGTCACAACTGACAAGTACCATACAGGTCTTCTTCTCTAACTCCATTTAAAGCAAAATGCAACACAAAAAAGTCAAAACTATAAAAACCACAATA